TCCCTTGCTCCTCCTTGTCTTCCCTGTGTCGAGGGGCGGCAGCGCGCTGCCCCTCACTCCTCCTCGTTCCCCCCGACGACTGCTCCTTTGCAAACGCTCCACATGGACGTGTGGGGCCCAGCCCGCGTCCGTGGTCAGAGCCAGGAGAGGTACTTCTTGATCGTCGTTGACGACTACTCGCGCTACACCACGGTCTTCCCCTTGCGCACCAAGGGTGAAGTCCCTGATGTTCTGATCCCCTGGATCAGCAGAGCACGTCTTCAGCTGCGACAGCGTTTTCGCTCGGAGTTTCCTGTTCTGCGCTTGCACTCTGACAGAGGTGGCGAGTTCTCCTCCGACCTCTTGGCAGCCTACTGTGCCGAGCATGGCATTCGCCAGTCGTTCACGCTCCCGGCCTCTCCACAGCAGAATGGGGTTGCTGAGCGCCGCATTGGCTTGGTCATGGAGGTCGCTCGTACCTCCTTAGTCCACGCGCCTGCCCCCCACTTTCTGTGGCCGTTTGCGGTCCGGTACGCTGCGCATCAGCTCAACCTCTGGCCCCGTGTCTCCGCTCCGGAGACCTCGCCCACACTGCTGTGGACGGGGGAGGTTGGCGATGCGTCTCGCTTCCGTGTCTGGGGATCCCGAGCTTTTGTTCGCGACACGTCTGCGGACAAGCTCTCCTCCCGCACTGCTCCCTGTGTCTTTCTTGGCTTTGTCCCGGATGCGTCTGGCTGGCAGTTTTACCACCCCGCCTCGCACCGAGTCTTCCCCTCTCAGGACGTCACTTTTGACGAGTCCGTGCCCTTCTACCGCCTCTTCCCCTACCGCACTGCCCCGCTCCCTCCCCCGCCTCTCTTCCTCGCGCCAGGTGCTGCAGTGGTAGACCCCCTTCCCCCTCAGGGTGCCGCTCCCTCAGGTGTCTCTCAGGTAGACCCGGTTGAGCCTGCCGAGGTAGCTGTCGACTCGCGTCCTGCTGGAGGTGCTGAGCCTGAGCGTGCGGAGCCTGAGCGTGCGGAGCCTGAGCGGGCGGAGCCTGGGGGTGCTGAGTCTGGGGGTGCTGATCCTGGGGGTGCTGAGCCTGGGGGTGCTGGGTTTGGGGGTACTGAGCCTGGTGTTGCTGAGTCTAGGGGTACTGCGCCTGGAGTTGCTGAGCCTGGGGGTGCTGAGCCTGGTGGTGTTGCAGTTGACTGTGAGGCGCCTGGAGGACCTCCCTCTTCGCAGCAGCTGCGTGAGTGGTACTCACGGTACTGCAGCCTCCGGCGGGGTGAGTCTCGGGCTCGTGGTACTGCTGGAGTTGGTACTCGTGCTTCCCCACCACGGCGGGAGCCGCCCTCTTCCCCTCAGCTTCGAGAGTGGTACGCTCGGCACATCAGTCTCCGTAGTGGAGCTGCTGGTGCTGGGGTCCCCGGAGTTGACGCTGCTGCGAGTACTACGGACCCTGGTGCTGGAGGTGCTGCTGCTGCTGGCGGTGCTGCTGGAGGTGCTGCTGCTGCTGGCGGTGCTGCTGGAGGTGCTGCTAGTACTGAGGACCCGGGCGTTGGAGCTGCTGTGGGTGCTACGGACCCTGGTGCTGGAGGTGCAGCTGCTACTGGCGGTGCTGCTGGAGGTACTGCTGCTGCTGGCGGTGCTGCTGGAGGTGCTGCTGGAGGTACTGCAGACCCTGGTGCTGGGGGTGCTGCTGCTTCTGGAGGTGCTGCTGCTGCCGCTGGTGTCTCTGCTGGTTCGAGAGCTGCTGCACGGCCACGACCGTACTTCGTTCCGCTCCTTCAGCAGGTTCTTGGTCAGCCTCCTCCTCCTTGTTCTCCTCTCGCCTTAGAGTGTCCGCCGTCTGTCCAGTCACAGCCACAGTTACCGCCTGCCTCACCACTCCCTGTGCCTGCTCCTTACACTGGTCCGACTGACGGTCTTGCTGAGAGACGTGAGCCTGCGTCACGTCCTGTGTCACCTGCGTCTCGTCGAGCGTCGCCTGTTCGAGCTGCTACCACTGGTAGTCGTGTCCCGCGTGAGCGTCCTCCTGCTGTCCCAGGCACGCACCGGATGGTGCTTCGTCAGTCCACTGCTCCGCAGCGTGTTGCTCTCCCGTCGCCTCCTGCGTCCTCTCTTCCTGCTCTTGCTGACCCGGAGTCAGACTCCCTTCGCGCTGCCAGTCCTACTGTCACACGTCTCCTGGCTACGGTTGTCACTGACCCTTCCTTTGTGTCCGCTGCTGCGTCTGCCCTAGTCACTGAGCTTGTCGACTTTGCAGCTGCGTGTCGTCTAGACTACGCAGCGAGTCTTGTTGCTGAGTCTGAGTCTGCCTGTCCTCCGTCCGTCGGGGGTGAGTGTGCTCTTGGCACGGACGTCCTTGAGGACAGGCAGGAGGAGTTTGGTTGCCTTGCCGCTGCTTTGCCCCATCTCGTGTCCATGCTTGTTGCCCCTGAGGGAGACCCGGATGCACCAGACATCCCGACCCCACGCTCTTACGCAGAGGCGATGGCCGGTCCCTACTCCTCTCAGTGGCAGTCAGCCATGGACACAGAGATGGCTTCCTGGAAGTCCACAGGCACCTACGTCGACGACGTTCCCCCACCTGGGGCGAACATCGTCAGTGGCATGTGGATTTTCAGGGTGAAGCGGCCGCCAGGCTCTCCGCCTGTCTTCAAGGCGCGTTACGTTGCACGAGGCTTCAGTCAGCGAGAGGGAGTTGACTTCTTCCAGACCTTCTCCCCGACCCCGAAGATGACCACTCTTCGGGTTCTGCTACACGTCGCCGCTCAGCGTGACTACGAGCTCCACTCTCTTGACTTCAGCACAGCTTTCTTGCAGGGCAGCCTGCACGAGGAGATCTGGCTGCGCCGCCCACCTGGCTTCACTGGGTCGTTCCCTCCTGGCACCCAGTGGAGCCTCCGGCGGCCAGTCTACGGTCTCCGCCAGGCGCCGCGTGAGTGGCACGACACACTGAGGACTACACTTGCGGCTCTTGGGTTTGCTCCTTCTACTGCTGACCCGTCGCTGTTTCTGCGCACCGACACCTCGCTGCCGCCGTTCTACATCCTCGTGTACGTCGACGACTTGGTCTTTGCCACTGCGGACACTGCCGCACTCGCCCACGTGAAGTCCGAGCTGCAGAAGAGACACACGTGCACAGACCTGGGTGAACTGACAAGCTATCTTGGCTTGCGGATCACCCGGGACAGAGCACGCCGCACCATTACCCTGACTCAGTCACACATGGTGCAGCAGGTCCTTCAGCGCTTCGGCTTCACGTACTCCTCGCCTCAGTCCACTCCTCTGCCTACGGGTCACTCGCTCTCAGCTCTGCCTTCGGATGAGTCCGTAGAGTCGAGTGGTCTGTATCCAGAGCTTGTGGGCTGCCTCATGTACCTGATGACCTGCACTCGACCTGACCTAGCATACCCTCTCAGCATCTTAGCACGCTATGTTGCTCCCGGCCGTCACCGGAAGGAGCACATGGATGCAGCTAAGAGGGTGTTGCGCTACTTGTGCAGTACGTCGGGCATGGGGCTAGTGCTTGGAGGGCGAGACCGGCCTGTTCTCACTGGGCACTCAGACGCTTCTTGGGCAGACGACCAGGCTACTCAGCGGTCGTCTCAGGGTTACACCTTCAGTCTTGGCTCTGGCTCTGTCTCTTGGCGTTCTACTCGTTCTTCTTCTGTTCTCAGCTCCAGCTGTGAGGCTGAGATCTACGCCACGGCCATGGCTGCCCAGGAGCTTTGCTGGCTCACCTACCTGCTGACTGACCTTGGAGAGCAGCCTCGTTCTCCTCCAGTGCTGTACGTCGACAACAAGGCAACCATTGCCTTGTGCCAGGAGCACAGACTGGAGCACAGGACGAAGCACATTGCTCTGCGTTACTTTCTAGCTCGAGAGCTACAGCAGCGTGGTCAGCTTCTTCTGCGTTACGTGGCCACTGAGGCCAACACTGCTGATGTGTTCACCAAGGCGCTTCCGCCTGTTGACCATCAGCGTTTTTGCACTCTTCTAGGCCTTGTGCCGACTGTTTCTCACTTACTTACTTCTTGACTTTACCTGTACTGTGATCATTATATATATACCTGCATGTTTGCCTTGTTAGGTTGTGATCATTGTACCTCTTGCTGTATTATAAAACTGCATGTGAACTGGTCTTGTGACCGCTTGCTTGTGCTCGGAATTTGTGTGGAATCCTCGAGATCCACCCTGAGCTTGTTTGCCTTGTTTTGCCTTGACTGGTCTTGTGACCCCTAGGTCTCCCCCACTTTGCCTATGGGGGTGTGTCAAACATTTATATGTTTGTGTGGTTCTAGGCTGTAGTGGGTCACACCATAAGGGGTACACCAGATTAGGGTTTGACATATTTGTACTGTTGTTCCTGCTAGTCACTCCTCATTCACGTTTCTCATTCTGACATTTTTCTGCCCGCCGTCTTTCCAACAGCCATTCATATTTATTCTCAAGGCTGAATTTCATGAAATTTCAAGTCCGTGATGCAGCAAAAGCATTCTACGAGTTCTGCCGCTGCCTCTTTCCTCCTGCACCTTGCCACTTGAAGCGTAATTATTCGTAGAGTGGGCACTTGCAGGGGTAACACTTGTAGTGTTCACATTCGCAGAAGTCCTTGATCCAGGTCGCATGAGCGGATTCAGCTCGAGTCCCTCCAGATCCTCTCCCTCATACTGACTCACCCCAGCCTGCAGGTGAGCATCAGCATGACTGGATTGAGTCAGAGTACTCACAGCATGTATTGCAGGAGCCACTTCTGTTTCCAAAATTACTCTCCCGCTCTCGCACCCTCTAACGCTCCCTCTTCCATTCCCTCCCCCAGTCCCTTTTCCAGTCTCTTCCCCCCTTCCTCTGCCTGTAGGTACACTTGTGTACGCTCCAGTAGCGTCCTCGGTAGAAGCCATACCAGTGTACGCCTTATTAGCTTCCTCGTTAGAAGCCCTTCCAGTGGAGACCGTTCTTAGGTGTAGCGGGATTCCCATTGCTGCAGTATAAAGAGCCGTAGCTAGAAATGTAGCAAGAGCACTACCATCTCCATGCTCACTATAGCAGTTGAAGGGGGTGCTAGTAGAGGGGTTTTTTATGAGGGAGGTATCACAGGAGGAGGTGTGGAAGAGAGTGCTCTAGATAACGGTGATTCCAAGGAAGTTGGTTTCAGTGAAGACAGAACGTGTCGACGAGGCAGTGACCCAACGTACTGCAGCAGGCTCGGCTGCCCGTTTGTCCGGCTCGGGCCTTGGCCAAGGTTTGGGCCCAGGCTAAGGCTTGGGTTTGGGCCCAGGCTTGCGCCCAGGCTTGGGTTGCGGTCCAAGCCTGCAATATTCTCTGCTTCCAGTATCTGATGAATTGATAAAAGAGCAGCAGGAGAGGCAGTGGCAATGGCACTGGCAGTGGCAGCAGCGGCAATGAGAGAAGCAGCAGCATCAGAGGCAGCAGCAGGAATAGCAGGAGGAGGAGGAGCAGCAGTGGAGATTCCATGCTGTGATGCCTCCTTGAACCAGGATCGACCCCCACGAGCAGCAGCAGCACTGGCAGCAGCAGGATTGCCAATACTAGCACCAGCACTAGCAGCAGCACTGGCATCAGCACTAGCAGCACTGGCATCAGCACTAGCAGCAACACTAGCATTAGCAGCAGCATCAGCACTAGTACCAGCAATAGCAGTGGCAGCAGCAGCACTAGCAGCAGCAGCAGCAGCAGCAGCAGCACTGCCGCTTCTGGAACCAGATATAGAAGGGGGATACATAATGCTCGCCTTGCGCTTGGATGGGAAAGAAAGAGTGGGTTGGGATGGGAGAGTGGGGCGGGATTCAAAAGGGCTTTCTTTTGCACTACCAGCAGCAATCCCTATTGCTTTCTCAAATAGCTTCTCCAGACATCCTTCACCTTCCCATCTCGCCCCTCGATATTCCCTTCCCCATTCTCAATCCCCTTCCCTTCCCCCTTCCCCTTCCCACTCCCCTTCCTCTTCCCCTCCCCCTCCATCTCCTTCTCCTCCTCCCTCCCCTCCTCTACCTGCTCCTCTCAAGCCTCCTCTCCCTGCTCTTGATGGTCCTGCTACAGCTGCTGCCTCTGAAGCTGCTGCCGCAGCCTCCCCTTTTCGGGATGTCCTCTTACCTCGTGCCCTGTGGCACGTCATGTGTCCTCCAAGCGCCTGTGATGTGGGGAAGGTGCTGCCGCAGAGAGGACAAGAATACCCGCCCGGCCTCTGCCCCAGCATGCCTGGGAGATGGTCCGAAGAAAGCTGAGCTGGAGGCTGGGTGGCGGCATGAGGCTGGGCGGCAGCATGAGGAGGGGCGTTGAAACCAGCACCAGATGAAACTGAAACGGTCCCACCACTACCACCATAGCCACCAGAAGCAGTTGAACTTGCAGCACCAGTAGCAGCAGTGGGAGCAGCAGCAGCAGCGGCAGCAGCAACAGCAGCAGAGGGAGTGGGACTTGCCACTCCAAGCCAGGAGGACAGGAGGGCATGTGCTCTCTCGCTCAAAACAACCCGAGTATGAGGATGATGTTCGGCTAATAAATATTGATGTTGCTCGATTGATAGATCCTGATGTTGCTCGGCCGGTTGGACTGGATATTGCACATGAGAAGTCTCAAACGCCAGGATTCCTGCCTGTGATCCTGCCTGCTGGTGCTGTGCTTGTTGCTGTAGCTGTTGACGCGCCTGCTGTTCTGCTTCTCGCTCTTCCTGCTTCTGTCTTGCCTGCAGTTCCAGTTGCCTCAGAAGCAGAAGCTGCATCTGTTGCTGTGTCTCTTGTTGTGCATGCTGATGAGCTTGCTGCTGAGCTGCTTCTTGCTCCTCCTACCGCTGCCTTGCCTGTTGCAGAAGCAGCACCTGCTGTGAGGGTGATTGTGCCGCCTCTTGTCGTACCTGTTGCTGTTCTTCTTCTCGCTCCTCATGCAACTGTTTTACTCGCTGCTCCAAACCCAGCTGCTGCTGCAGCTGCTGCTTATGAATGTCCAGCCTTTGACTCTTCTCCTGCTCATCTTGCTGCTGCTGCTGCAACCAGCCTTGCTGCAGCTGCTGCAACCAGCCTTGCTGCTGCTGCTGCTGCTGCTGCTGCAACAAAGCTTGCTGCTGCAACCAGCTTGGCTGCTGCTGCTGCTGCTGCAACCAGCCTTGTTGCTGCTGCTGCTGCAACCAGCCTTGCCGCTGCTGCTGCAACAAAGCTTGCTGCTGCAACCAGCTTGGCTGCTGCTGCTGCTGCTGCAACCAACCTTGTTGCTGCTGCTGCTGCTGCTGCAACCAGCCTTGTTGCTGCTGCTGCAACCAGCCTTGCCGCTGCTGCTGCTGCTGCTGCAACAAAGCTTGCTGCTGCAACCAGCTTGGCTGCTGCTGCTGCTGCTGCTGCAACCAGCCTTGCTGCTCCTACTGCTGCATCTCATACCGCCTCTGCTGCTGCAGATCCTGTAGCTGAAACTGGTATTGCTGCTGCTGCAGAAGATCTGTACAGTAACTCTGCTGCTCTAACTGCTGCTGTTGCTGCTGGGTTTGCTGACGGACCTGCTGTAGCAATGCCTGCTGTTGTTGTTGATGATGCTGCTGCTGCTCCTGCTGCTGCAGCTGCTGCTGCAGCATAAGTTGCCGCAGCAGAATCAGCTGATGCCGCTCCTGCAGAAAAGACAATCTAGCAGCATCAGCTGCCGCTTCTGCTGCTGCCTTAGTGTCAGTCTCTGTCATTGTAGCGCCTCTGCTCTCAAACCCCGTGATATCTCTTCCCATGCCTGTCCCCATGCCTGTCCCCATGCCTGTCCCCATGCCTGTCCCCATGCTTGTACCCATGCCTGTACCCATGACTGTACCCGTGCCTGTTCCCATGCTTCTTTCCATGCCCACTCCCATCTCTTTATCCATCCCCATACCCCCCCTCATGTCCACTCTTCTTTCCTCGTCATCCCTCCTCTCTGCTCCATCCCAGCTTGTCTCATCCGTTCCCTCTTCATCCTCTCTGATTGCACCACCTTCGAGGCGCCTAAAACATGTTCCCATGCTTCTTCCCATGCCTATTCCCATCTCTTCATCCATCCCCATACTGCCCCTCATGGCCACTCTTCTTTCCTCGTCATCCCTCCTCTCTTCTCCATCCCATCTTGTCTCATCCCTTCTCTCTTCATCCTCTCTCGAAGCACCAATTTTGAGGCGCCTCAAAAGTGTTCCCATGCTTCTTCCCATGCTTGTCTCATCCCTTCTCTCTCCATCCTCTCTCGAAGCGCCAATTTTGAGGCGCCTCAGAAGTGTTCCCATGCTTCTTCCCATGCCTGTCTCATCCCTTCTCTCTTTATCCTCTCTGATGGTACCACTACCCTCTATATGCTCTGGCCTGATTTCCGCTCCCCTATTTTTTTTCCTCCCTCCCCCCTCCCTTTTCCTCTCTTCCCCTTCCCTTTTCCTCCCTTCCCCCTCTTTTATGCTGCCTTCCCTCTCCCTTATCCTCCCTTCTCCCACCCATCTCCTCCCCTCTCCTTCCCCTTCCCTTATTCTCCCCCCCTCTTCCCCATCCCCTACCCATATCCTTCCCTCTCCAGCGCTTAGCCCATCTCCCCTTTGGGTTATACAGTCTTTGTCTGACTGGAATCCTAACAAATTCAGCAGGCGAGGAGAAGGTGCGTTTCTGGGTATTGCATCATCCCTACCGAGTATGATTCTAGCACTGCTGGTACTGTCTGTGACTGTAATGAGCGACCTTGTACCGGGGGGTTAACTGTAGCGGGAGAAGCGACATATCGAGGGGTGGGAATAGAACCACGTCCACGACTGGGCGGCAGCAATGACAGTGTCTCCAAACGTTGCTGAACGGAACCAGAACCTGCCGAGGCCTCGTTGCCTGGAGGAACCTCAGTCTTTGCCGCCCAGAACCTGGAGCCAACGCCTGCTGACGTGGCAACGACAGGTGATGACGCGGCCTGGCGAGTGTCAAGGAGAGGGAAAGCAGTTGGAAGAGGGGGAGGGGGAAAGGGTGGAGGACGGGGGGGGGGGGAGGAGGAGGAGGGGGAGGAGGAGGAGGAGGAGGAGGAGGAGGAGGAGGAGGAGGAGGAGGAGGAGGAGGAGGAGGAGGAGATTGAGGAGGCTGGGTGAGATCGTGGTTTGATTTTTGGCTCGTTTGCGTTATTAGAAACAACTCAGGGGAATGTGTTGAGAATAGAACGAGAATGAATGAACTATGAATGAAGTGAGTACAAATAGGAAACCCTAACTGGGTTGTACCCCCTATGGGATACCCCACTACAGCCTACACAATAGTATAAGCTATATATATGTTCTGACACACCCCCATAGGCAAAGTGGGGGAGAACAAGGGGTCACAAGACCAGTCAAGCAAGACAAAGCAAAGCTCAGGGTGGATCACAAAGTCACCACACAGTCCGAGCACAAGAGCAAGGCCAAAGGCCAGTTCACATGCAAGAGTACAGACATATATATAAAGCTAGACAGGCAAGAGCAGGTATATATATGTCACAGTACAAGTAAAGTCAAGAGGAGAGCAAGTGAGGCAAGACAGGCACAAGACCCAGCTGGGTGCAGAAGCGCTGATGGTCACAAGGCACAAGTGCCTTGGTGAACACATCAGCAGTGTTGGCCTCAGAGGCCACGTACGCAAGCCGCAACTGTCCACGCTGCTGTAGCTCACGAGCAAGGAAGTAGCGAAGAGCAATGTGCTTCGTTCTGTGCTCCAGACGCTGCTCTCGACACAAGGCCAGCATGGCCTTGTTGTCTACGTACAGCACTGGAGGAGAACGAGGCGGCTCTCCAAGGTCAGTCAGCAGGTAGGTGAGCCAGCGAAGCTCCTGTGCAGCCATGGCCCCTGCGTAGATCTCAGCCTCACAACTAGAGCTGAGAACCGAAGACGAACGAGTAGCCCGCCACGAGACAGAGCCGGAACCAAAGCTGAAGGTGTAACCCTGTGACGACCGCGGCGTAGCCTGGTCGTCAGCCCAAGAAGCGTCCGCGTGACCTGTAAGGACCACTGGACTCCGCCCTCCAAGCACTAGCCCCATGCCCGACGTACTGCACAGGTAGCGCAATACCCTCTTCGCTGCAGCCATGTGCTCTGGTCGGTGTCTCCCAGGAGCAACATAGCGTGCAAGAATGCTCAGAGGGTATGCAAGGTCAGGTCGTGTGCAGGTCATCAGGTACATGAGGCAGCCAACAAGCTCTGGGTACGGGCCACTCGACTCTACGGACTCATCCGAAGGCAGAGCTGAGAGCGAGTGGCGGGTAGACAGAGGAGTGGCCTGAGGCGAGGAGTACGTGAAGCCGAAGCGCTGAAGGACCTGCTGCACCATGTGTGACTGAGTCAAGGTAATGGTGCGGCGTGCTCTGTCCCGAGTGATCTGCAAGCCAAGGTAGCTGCGCAGTTCACCCAGGTCTGTGCACGTGTGTCTCTTCAGCAGCTCGGACTTCACGTAGGCAAGTCCAGCAGTGTCCGCTGTGGCAAAGACCAAGTCGTCGACGTACACGAGGATGTAGAACGGCGGCAGTGAAGTGTCGGTGCGCGGAAACAGCGACGGGTCAGCAGTAGAAGGAGCAAACCCAAGAGCCGCAAGCGTAGTCCTCAGTCTGTTGTGCCACTCACGCGGTGCGTGGCGGAGACCGTAGACTGGCCGTCGGAGGCTCCACTGGGTGCCAGGAGGGAAAGTCCCAGTGAAGCCAGGTGGACGGCGCAGCCAGATCTCCTCGTGCAGGCTACCCTGCAGGAACGCAGTGCTGAAGTCGAGAGAGTGAAGCTCGTAGTCGCGCTGAGCGGCTATGTGTAGCAGCACCCGAAGAGTGGTCATCTTCGGGGTGGGAGAGAAGGTCTGAAAGTAGTCAACTCCCTGCCGCTGACTGAAGCCACGAGCGAGGTACCGCGCCTTGAAGACAGGTGGAGAGCCTGGCGGCCGCTTCACCCTGAAGATCCACATGCCACTGACGATGTTCGCCCCAGGAGGGGGAACGGCGTCAACGTAGGTGCCTGTGGACTTCCAGGAAGCCATCTCTGCATCCATAGCTGCCTGCCACTGAGAGGAGTAGGGACCCTCTACGGCCTCCGCGTAGGAGCGCGGAGTCGGGATGTCTAGTGCATCCGGGTCTCCCTCAGGAGCAAGCAGTACAGACGCGAGATGAGGTGAAGCAGCAGCCAGAGACTGTAACTCCTCCTGCCTGTCCTCTAGGACGTCCGTGCCAAGAGCACACTCACCCCCGACGGACGGAGGACAGACAGACGCAGACTCAGCAACAAGACTAGCAGCGTAGTCTAGACGACAGCGAGCAGCAAAGTCGACGAGCTCAGCGACAAGAGCAGACGCAGCAGTGGACTCAAAAGAGGGGTCAGTGACGACAGTAGCAAGGAGACGCGTGACAGTAGGACTGGCAGCACGAAGGGAGTCTGACTCAGGGTCGGCAAGCACAAGAAGAGAGGACTCAGGAGGAGAAGGCAAAGGGGCACGCAGAGGAGCAGTGGACGGACGCAGAGACATCCGGTGCGTGCCAGGGACAGGAGGAGGACGCTGACGCGAACCGCGACCACTAGCGCGAGCAGCACGAACAGGCGACGCGGGACGAGACGCAGGCTCACGACGCTCAGCAAGACCTCCAGTAGGACCAGTGTAAGGAGAGGGAGCAGGCAGTGGGGAGGAAGGCTCCAACAGTGACTGCGACTGGACAGGCTGTGGACACTCTACCGGAGGAGAAAGACCAAGAACCTGCTGCAGGAGCGGAACGAAGTACGGCCGAGGCCGCGCGGCAGCTCCAGGCTCAGCAGGGACAGCACCAGCACCCTCAGCGGCAGGACCTCCAGCAGCACCAGCAGCAGAACCACCTCCAGGACAGACAGCTGGAGTCTCAGCACCAACACCTCCAGCAGCTCCAGCTCCAGTAGGACCCGCAGGTCCAGCAGCTCCGGGACCGGCGGCACCAGCACCCTCGACGGTCGAAGAAGCTCCAGCTCCGGCAGTACGCCTCCAGCGGCGAGCAAACCACTCGCGCAGCTCCTGTGGAGAGAGAGGCTCCCGCCGAGACGTAGCACCAGGAGAAACCCCAGGCTCAGCAGCCCCAGACGCAGCACCCCCAGGCTCAGCAGCTCCAGACGTAGCACCCCCAGGCTCAGCAGCTCCAGACCCAGCACCCCCAGGCTCAGCAGCTCCAGACTCAGCACCCCCAGACTCAGCACCCCCTAGCTCAGCAGCTCCAGGCACAGCACCCCCCGGCTCAGCACCCCCAGGCCCAGCACCCTCCGCAGTAGCACCCCCAGGCTCGGCACCCGCGCGCACAGCACCCCCAGAGTCAGCACCCCCAGGCTCAGCACCCGCAGCAGCACCAGAGTTATCAGTAACCTCGACCGGGTCAACTGCGTCTACCTGGGACACACCTGAGGGGGCAGGAACCTGAGGGGGGAGGGGGTCTACCGGGGGGGGAACCGGCACAAGGAAGTCCGGTGGCGGGGGAAGGGAAGGAGTGCGGTAGGGGAAGAGGCGGTAGAAGGGGACTGACTCGTCGAACGTGACGTCCTGGGAGGACTAAACACGACGAGAGGAGGGGTGGTAGAACTGCCACCCTGGAGCGTCAGGGGGGAAGCCAAGGAAGACACATGGAGCAGCGCGAGGGGACAGCTTGTCCGCAGACAAGTCGCGGACAAACGCCCGAGATCCCCAGACACGGAACGCAGACGCATCGCCAACCTTCCCCGTCCACAGTAAGACTGGGGACATCGCAGGCCGAGAGACCCTGGGGTGAAGGTTGAGCTGATGCGCCGCGTACCGAACCGCAAACGGCCACAGAAAATGGGGGGCAGCCGCATGCATCATGGACGTACGAGCGACATCCATGACCATGCCAATGCGGCGCTCAGCAATCCAATTTTGCTGTGGAGAGTCCGGAAGCGTGAAGGTCTGGCGGATCCCCCGTGCACGACAGTAGTCTCGCAGAAGGCGAGTGGAGAACTCCCCGCCTCTGTCCGAGTGCAGACGCAGAACAGGAAAGTCCGAGCCGAAGCTCCTCCTGAGCTGGAGACGAGCCTCGCGGATCCAGTCGATCAGCACCTCAGTGACAGCACCCTTGCTGCGTAGGGGGAGGACTGTGGTGTAACGCGAGTAGTCGTCAACCACCAACAGGAAGTAGCGCTCGTGACCCTGCCCACGGACAGGGGCTGGGCCCCACACGTCCATGTGAAGTGTCTGCAGAGGAGCCTCTGTCGGGGGGAACTGGGAGGAGTGAGGAGCAGCCCGGAGGCGCCCCTCGACACAGGGGACACAGGAAGGTCCTGGCCCCGAAGGAAGGGGAGGGAGAGACTGGGGAAGACCAGAGACAAGGACACGGGAAGCCATGCTCCGAAGATGGGGCAAGGAGGGGTGGCCCAGACGGTGGTGCCACAGGAGGGTCTCGTGAGACAGGAGGCGACACGAACAGGGGGCAGACTCAGGGCCAGACCGGGACGCAGCAGCAAACACCTGACCTGACGCAGCTACCTGACCAGACGCAGGGACAGGAGGAGACGTAGTGGTCAGGGTGTAGAGGCTCGACCCCGGCCGACGCGAGAACGTGGCCAGGTGCCGGCC